ATCTCAGTAGCTAAGCAGCATCGGCCCTGGTCGGTATTTGGATGAGAGACTGCTAAGGAATTCCAGGGCTGCTGTGCGGAGGCAGGCCATGGCAAACCGCCTCTGAAACGCCTCTTGCCTTGAAAACCCCATGGGGCCACTCTAAGTTAGCGGCAACTTGAAGGCAAGAAAAAGAAGAAAAAGAAAAATGTTGGCGTTGGAAGGGACCACCAGGATCCAACCTCCTGCCAATGCAGGAAATTACAGCTATAATATCCCCAACAAGTCGATTTCCAGCTGATACTTAAAAACCTCCAGCGACAAAGGTTCTACCGCCTCGTGAGGGAGACTGTTCCAGTGTCGAACACATCTCACCGCCAGGGAGTTCTTCCTCGAATTTAGACCAGACCTCCTTTGTTTGGTGTCGTGGTGAAGTGCGCGGACTCTAATCTGGGAGAACCGGGTTGGATTCCCCACTCCTCCACTTGCACCTGGTGGATGACCTTGGGCAAGCTGTAGTTCTGATAAGAGCTGTCCTTGAAAAAGAGCCGTTTCTGTCAGAGCTCTCTCAGCCCCACCTACCTCACAGGGTGTGTGTTGTGGGGAGGGGGAGGGAAAGGAGCTTGTAAGCTGCTCTGAGACTCCTTTGGGTAGTGAAGGGCGGGGTAGAAATTCAATCTCCTCCTCCTCCTCCTCCTCCTCCTCTTCTTCTGTACTTCACACCTATTATTTGTGCATTTATTAAATTTGATTTACTAGGCCGCCCTTCCCTACAAGTAGGGCTCAGGGCAGCTTACAACAGAATAACGTCCAAGGAATAATTTTAATTAAAACCAACATTGAAACTACCCCAAAAGACAGATTAGTAAATAAAACAGTATACAGTTCCAAGATGGCGGAGGAAAATCCAGCTCCCAGCCTCCCATGGCCTGCTGTGAAATAATGTTGCGGCCAGATCAGAAACAGCCCCAAACTGGAAAAGGGAGTCCAAGAAAGTTGGGTGGGCTTGGTGGTCACGTTGGTGGCACTTCTGTTTTAAGTGTAAAGTATTTAGGGGGGGGGGAGTGGATTTTGGTGAAGCGGCAACAGCGATCGATCCATCGGGATGTCAACCTCTTGTACATGTTCATGTCCGTTTAAACCTATCCAAAGCTCTGCTGAGAAATCAATGTACGATTATATTTGAAAGAGAAACAGAAATATCTATATAGTCTATTTTTAAATACAGAACTTAAAGAGCTGTATACTCTTCCGGGGGGGGGGGGGGTTACTTCCCGTCGTCCTGTAACCTTTGTCTGTTTGGTGGCTGTAATAAACGTCATCTGGGTCTCCGACGGTATTGGTGTTCTGTGCAAGGGCTAGGCCAGTGAGGGCGAACCTTTTAGAGACCGAGTGCCCAAACTGCGACCCAAAACCCACTTATTTATCGCAAAGTGCCAACA